TCCGGACCCCTGGGCCCGGCCCGGCGCTGCCCATTCACCTCCTCCTCTCCGCCTCCGGAGCGCTCCGCTCTGTCACCCGGCCGCCGTTCGTCATTGGCTCTGCTATTTTTTGGTGCCTGTTTCCATGTCACCCTTCGGCGGATCGCGATAGGCGATGAGCGGCTGCGAGCGGCGCTCCGTGACACCGCCGCGCATCTCGCCGCTCCCCCCCCGCTCCGCTCCCTTTCTCAATCCGCGGTTCGGAGCCGCCGGGATGCGGCCGGGTTCGGCCCCGCGCATCGCATCGCCCCGCGCCGTGCCGTGCCGCGCCGGGGGCGGGCAGCGCTGCGGGAGCGGAGCGCGGCGGCGGCGGCGCCTTAAAGCGAAACGCAAAAGTTCGCCTCTCCCTTTTCCCTCCGTCCCTCCCTCCGGCGCGGGGCTGAAGGTATTTCGCGTGTCACGCAGGGATCCCCGCCGCTTCGCTCGGCTCCTCCGAGCGCGGGGCGCGCACCGCACTTTCCCAGCGCCGCTTTTTCCCGTGGAGAGCCGCGCCGCTCCGCCGGTTTGTCCCTCGCTGCCCCGATAGCCGCGAAACGCGGCGGGCTCTCGCTAGCATCGCAATCTCGGAGTCTCCGCCGCAACGCAGCCACTCGTTTCAGTGCATTCGCGTCGCGGCTCGGGAAGCGTTTTTAGCGGCGAGCATGGGAATGCGTGCCGGGCCGCCTCGTCGGGCCGCGCTCTCCGCAGGGATGAGGGCTCGCGGAGCGGCGGCACCCGGCAGCCATCCGCCCACCGGCACCGACTTTCGCTTTCAGGAGCTCGGCGTCCTGCCCCGCTCGGTGCCGCACAGGTGCGGGGCGTTTTTCAACACCGCTCGCCCGGCGTCGGTCCGCAGCCCGCGGTTCGTTCCCGTTTCTCATTGAAATGAAAGCCCGCGCCCTGCGCCCGCTGGGCTCTGTCGCGCCGTCGCTCCTTTTGGCTTTCTTATTTCTCGAGCTGCACCGTTCCCATATTTTATAATTACATAAAGGTGGGTGTGGCTAAAATGAAAGCAGTAAGCGATCTAATATCGATACGCGGGCTGTGGAAATTAGGTTTTCCTTCCTTATAATTGACGTGCTCCTCATTTTGAGACACTTAGGGGGGTTGGGGGGGGGGGAACCGTGTAGCTTCAATGGACCCTTGTGGAACTGCTTGCATTTTTCACCTCAGTTAAAACGTCAAACATTAACTGGATGGCTTGGCCCTGCAGAAGGCACATTTGGAGGAAATATCAAATGTGCTTCAAGATCGAAACCTGTGTATTTACACGATGGCGATAACTGAAAGCTGAACTTCTGTGCTTAGTGGTGTTTCTTCGCTGTGCCGTGCACTGCGTACACGTACTTTCTTAATTTTTTTATTTTTTTTTTCAGACTTATTTTTTTTATCTCAGCTGTCAGAAAAACATCCAGATAAGCTTCTCTTGCCCTCTTAATTTTTTGGTAATTTTTTGGTAATTTTTTAACATATTTTTTTGCTACTTTTTCAATAGCCCGGTACCAAGAAAAACCCCACCAAGTTGTACTGAAAGTTTCCAAGAGGTGCATTCTCTTTTCAGAGAGAGAAACCTTGTGCAGCTTGGAGGCAACTGTGCTGTTTGTAATGCTGAGGAGCAGCAGCAATGGGAAGATGTGGGGCTGTGGGCAGCGTGTTGCGGTGCGGTGTACAGCCAGGCTGTGTGTATGGTCACAAGGTGTGCGAGGTGCTTTTGCTGCTTGGTTGTCGATTGGGGTTTTTTTGTGCGTGTGTTTTTTCCCTTTTTTTTTTTTTTTTTTTTTTTTTTTTGCTTGGCTTTTGGAATCCTGGGCTTGTTCCTGCTCCATCCAAAGCGCAGTGTCACAGGAGGGATTTTGCTCCTGAGCTGTGGGCTGCGTTTCCTTAATTCTCCCAGTGCTAATGAATCAGGATGTGAGCAGAGTGCAGCCGGGGCTGCAGACGCTGCCTGTCAGTGTGAGCACGAGGGGAAGGTGCACAGCCCATCCCTCCCAAAGGGCACAGCTTCCCAACAGGTGTACAGCACTGCTACCTATTTGAGTGGGCTGCACCCAGAGCTCTCACCTAACAGCGAGCATTGCTGCTACAGCATCCTGCTGCTTTTCAGTTGCATTGGGAAACAATTACCTACCGAGCACCTCCTGTGTCCTACCAATATTCTGCAGACACTTTGTTTCTTGGCTCCATCATCTGCCCGTGCCCAAAGGCCCCTTAGCTCTCATCCCAGCAATTTACATTTATTAAAGTTGTCAAAAGTGCAGTGCAGCTTGGCCTTGTCCTGCCTGCCTGGGGAGGAAATGGGGGATTACTCTGTGCCGTTCTCTATACCAACAGGGAAATATTTTTTGATTTTTTTTAAAATAAAAATAGCTTTGTGTACACATAAGTTGTCTTCCACAGATGCGCTGTTTGTACTTATTTATATAAAAATAAATGTACACATATATACATATCCTAAACACTTAACATCTAACACTGGAACCTGAGATCAAAATGATGATATTTTTTTTCTATCACTACTAATACCAGAGAAGTGTTGCTTGCCCACATTTCTCGTGTACATACTCTGACTCTTCACACAGCCTTTTTTTTTTTTTGTTATTTAATGGTGATGTACTCTAAGGCAGGAGGACTGAAGATTTGTCCCACAGATGTGAGGGGGACGTGATGCAGAAGGGAGGTGTGTGGCATGGATTCCTGATGCCTCATTTCCCTCAGTCAAAATGCTGCTTTGCCATTTTATTTATTTATTTTGCAAATTATTGGCAGGAGCTGAGTAGGATTTTTTTTTACTTTTTTTTTTTTTTTTTTTTTTGTAGGTAACTGTGTGTTAATGCACAACAAACAGAAGAAGTTAGGCTTACAGGGGGAAATGGTATTTTGAAATTACCCTAAATTTTGGATGCTGGACAGTATCAGAAATGGTTACAATGAGCTAGGTAGAAAAAAACCCTGCCCATTGTTTAATGGGGTGTGAGGCAGTGTCTGTGCTGAAGTTCTTTTTTAACCCTTTGCTGCAAATCCTAAAAGCAGTCTAGCTGCAGTGTGAGGAGCTGTGCCTGTCCCTGGGCCAGAGAGTGGAAGCGGGGCTGGGGGGCAGCTCTCAGCTCAGCCCCTGTGCTGCTGTGTGCAGGGGCAGCAGGGAGAGCAGCCAACACCTGGCAGTTTTGGACTTAATATTAGCATCTAATCATATTTTAGCACATCATCTCTAATAATAAAAAAAAAAAACAACAAAAAAGTTATCTTTAGAGCGAATATTAATGACTTTGTGTAATTCTGAGCACTTCTTCCTATCTCGGCAGTGCAGTTGCCAGTTGTGAGGATGACCTCGCAGGCACACACACACACACATTCATTGCCACATACACACAAGAGGAGAAAAATGTCAATTCTGTACATTGAGCTTCTATTTTATGAAAACTTTCCCAGTGTGTTGCTCTGAGATGATACTATGCTCACAGCTGAAAAATAGCTGTGGCTCGCAGGGATGGTTGTTAATGTCTGAAGGAAGCCACTGTTAGAAGAAGGGGATAAAAAGTGACTTTTGGGTTTGTTTTCAGAAACTGTAATGAGTGTATCCACAGTAAATGGATTATTAATAAACTTTTCAACGTCTGATCTAGCTGCAACTGATTATTTTATTTAACATGAGCTGAAATTCACAGGAAGGTCTCAGCTGAGAAAGAGATAATTACACTCGGCTGAGGGCTCAGCCTCTGTTTTCGTAGAAGGTGCTTTTCTGTGAGCTTGCTTTCAGTATTAGCTTGAAGGGTATTAAATCTTAATATGAGCGTGGGGGGGAATTTTGAGAAGCATTTTTGCGTTTCTGCTTGAAGAGCAGAAACTTTTATTTTCGTGGATCCTTCCCATAATTTTTTTTTTTTTCTTTTTAAATAAGGCAAATTTTCTGTTCTGATTAAAGCAGAGTGCTTATCAGAGCTCTGTAACTATGGGGATTTTTTTTAGGATTTTTCTGGACTACGATGAAGGAATAAAGGGGCAAAATGATGGGCACGTTTGTCAGCAGGTGAGCTGAGCGAGGCAGCTGCTGCCACGTTTGTTAGGCACTGCATGTGTCACGTCCTGCTATCTGCAGTGAGAAAAGCTCCAATAAATGGAAGGATGGGGCTGTGTGGATGCACTGCTTCCTGCAGTAGATATTTGATACAGTTGTTGCCTCTATCAGCTTATGCTTTGTTCCTACCTGAATATTGTGGCCAATTTTTTTCTTTTTTAGTTTTTCCTCTTCCCAGTAAGCTTTTAAATTTTTGCTCAGAGAGCATTAGATGACTCTACAGTTTCTCCTACACCTTCTGAAGAGGCTAATATTTGTGCAGCTACATTTTAACAAACGTAGCAGTGCTAACTGCCCTTGAAAAGAAGCAGCTGAAGCTCCTTCAGGAAAAACGTGCGAAGTTCAACCCTGCTCAGTCAGCAGCACCGTCTGGGGAGTGTGGCAGCAGTCATCACACACCCATTAAGCAGTTTGTACTCAACCTGTTTGCTGCTTTCAGGGTGGAGGGAGAGACTGGGAGAGGTTCTTCTCTCCCCCCCCTCCTTCCTTCCCCCCCCCCTTTTTTTTTTCTTTCTCTTGCTTTCATGTTAAAATGCTGCAGGAAGAATGAAAGCGGGGCATGCTAATCTGATTTGTTTCGAGAGGCTTCTGATAATAAAGAGGCATATCACAGGTGTTCCCAATCAACTCGGTTTGGTTTAAAATATATCTCTCTCCCTCTTTAAAATTAGGATTTCCTGTAACATAGACAATGCGAGGGTCAGCCCGATGACCTCTGTCTATGTTTGGGGATCAACCATGAAACTGTGGGTGTTGGAAATATGTTATAATACATGACGTTTTTATTGCAGGTTTCGACCTTTCAATAGAGAGCTGATTTTGGAGAACGGCTTAGTCCTGTGATTGAAAAACTCTTTCTGGAAGGTTGATGGAGCAGGAGCATGGTATATATTATATTAACATTTCTCTATTACACATGTTCTTAATTTAAAAAAAAAAAAAAAAAAAAAAGTATATGGTGTAACTTCTTTGGATTATTCAAAATAGGCAAGTTGTGCTGGGTTTGCCTGAGTTTTTTCTGTTTGGTAAAATAATTCTTCTTTACACTCTGTCTGTAAAATTCTAAGAGGCTGAGTAAAAGTGAGGCATTCACACGAGCTGTCTTCAGAAGGAAATGAAGTGGCCAAAATTTGTACAAAAAGCTGAGTTTGCAGCAGCCTTGGTCATAGAAGTTATATAAATTCTCTATATAGTATTGTTCTCGTATTCTTGTATTGGGAATTAGTCCAAGTGAAATGTTGCTAATCCAAAAACAAGGTATAGAGGAGGTAGTGTTTATTTTTAAGTAACATTATTTTGTTGTTGTTGTTGTTGGGAGGGTTTGGTAAAGAAACGAACAGAGAGCTGAGTGCACTTCAATGTAGTGTGCAAAACTTATTTTTAAATGTGTTAACAAACTTGCTGCTTGACGAGCTAAGAAGCAGGAAACGAGACAAAATGGGCTTCAGAGGTCCCTACCTGTAGCAAAGCAGGCAGAAATTTAATTTAATTTCTCTATTTGTCAGTAAATAGATTTTTCTATAGCAAAACAGCAAATATTTAAAAAATAATAAATAGGGACTGGCTGCACTCATACTGCAAGTCCTGCTTTGCAACAGAAGTACTCATTTGGCTGAAACTGAGAAATCCATTCAGAGTAATCATAACCTACCTACTTGCATGTGAATAATCTTAACTAACCATTTCTAAAAACAATTGAAATTAAAATAGTAACTGTTCTTGGATTGAGTAAATTTGTTTAAATACTAAATGGAGCAGTAAAAACTGTAAAACTTTATCTTGAGCGAAATATATTACAGTGCAACAAATTTTATGAACATGTCGTGACTTTAGCAATTCCAGCTTTCAGCTGGAATCCACTTTTTATCCTTAATCAAATCTGTCTGTCTTCAAGAAGGCATTTTTTTTTTTTATTTTGCAGGAAGTAATTGTATCAGAAAATAAGAGAAATTTGGGGGAAAAAAAATTGTAGATGATTCTGGTAACTGCTAATTTGTACTAACCAAATCCAGCAAAGTGTAAATTGCAGCTTTCCTCAGTGTTGTAAGTAATGTCCACTACACCCGAGGAGCAGCTGCTTTTGCCACTAGAACACCTTCTGGCACAGATCTGGTTGAGGCAGACACATTCTGAAGGTGTTCCTCATATAATGAAAACTATACTGTGATTTTTAGGGGTTGGGAAGACCACCTACAGGCAGTTATCAGTTGAGAAGGAAAATCGTGACTACAGAAAGTGCAGGGATCCAGAGGAAAAGGAGGGAAACAGAAGTTTCTATGAACTTAGTAATTTGTGATTAGTGAACTGGTGATTTTTCATTTTTTTTCCTCTTTGTGATTAACAGTTGTAGTAAAAGTTTTTTTGATTAATGCAGTTAGAGTGCAGTTTGGGTGACATGTCTAACATGATCCCAAAGAAATATTTTACAGTCTGTCCAGAAGCTCTGCACTGAGTGTAATGCATATGGGTTTGGGTGGTGGTTTCTTTTTTTTTTTTTTTTAATCCTGCTTCTCTTAAGAACATAAAGATTTCACAGAACACCTCTTTGAATTTGTTCCTCCTTTCTTCTTTTTTTTCTAAATTTTTACTCTTTTTTTTTTTTGTCCCTGTACAAAAGCAATTACATTCTTGTTAATGAAAATCAGGATTATATTGCAAGGCAAAAGTATCTAAGGCTCCCTTGTGACATATTTAAAAGGTGAAAGTTTGATGGAGTGTTCCTTGGGCTGACACGAGTTCAGAGTATTTCTTATAGATTCTTATTCAGCAAAAAAAAAGATATAATATCTGGTTCACGACTGTAAATCAAAGGATTTTTAAATTTAGGGCCTGAGCCTGCAGAGTTCTAAATACACAAGTAGTCCTAATAGCTCACTTCCACAAATAAAGATTTGCAGAATCGTGTCGGTAGATCCAAACTTTTATTTTTTTTAATGAATAAAAGATATCAAAGTAATTTGAACTTTGGGACAAGTTAAATAATTTTTTTTTCAGGAGCCCAAAGGGGAGAGTTTTGCAGTAGTGCAGTTACAGAGTGTGACTCGTGTACAAGCTGAGCTGTCTCTCAGGAGTGCTGTAGTTGTCAGTTACCATTAGAATCCATTTTTCAAGTGTTGATTGGCTCTAGAACAGTTTTTTTGCTGAAATTTGGCCTACATTAATTTTGTTGTAGAGCTGGTCAGCATGTTTGCTGTAGAAGTGCTCAGCGTGGCTGTTTTGTGCCCCAAAGAGCAGTGAAGCATTGCAGAGAGCTCTGGGGTGTGTTTTAGTTTCTAACTCCCTGTTTCTGCTGTTGCAGTTCTTATATAGGCAAACTACCACTGATTTTGTTGGAAATTAAGCCTGCAATAAGGGCTGCGGTGCTGGCCCCTTAAAAACTGTTGGTGTGGCTATTGCAAATAGTGTGCTCGACTTCGTGGGCTGTTTTGCAATATCTAGTTGTAATGAGCTGAAGAGATAAAAATGTGCAGGCTTCTTTGCTGAAGTGCTTCCCGTGTGCAACTTTCCATGGCCACTTTTACCACTCGCAGAATAGGTACATGCTTGAGCCTCTACAGACCTTGTTGCCTAAATCATAATCTGATAGCTGACATTGCAGGCTTGCTGCTCTGCTCGTCTGAAGGAGCTGCTGCAGACATCTTTGTCAGCTCATCAGTGCTTTCTTTAAGGACTTCTGCTGCTTTTTTCAAAAGCAACTTAAATAATTTTCCTGAAAGGGAGATGTGGCTAGAAGGGCACCCTGTGCCTGGTTATTACAGCTCATGTAAGATCAGCCCTCCTTTGAAACCCCTCTGGTAGCTCAGACGTGGCTGATTTAAATTTAGAAATCTGAAAGAAGTGAATTTTCTGGATTTTGTTCATTTTAACTAGATCCAGCCCTAATATTATTTTCAAATGGAGTTTTGTGTACTGTTGAATTTAAATAAACCTTAGCTTTTGTTATTAGGCTAGAGATCTAGTGAAACATCTCTATGGCAAGGATTTGAGGCTGGTGTACTTACACTTCAATTTTTTCTTCTCTGTTGATGAAGTGATCCTGCGAAACACTTGTAAAAGAAGAACAAACGACCCACAAAGTCTTCGGGAAAAATAGTTAAAAAATGCTAATTGCCATATTTAAATGCTTATGCTTCCCCCTCAAAGCCAGATGCATGAAAATAGGCTCTTGCTTGTATTTATTTATTTATTTCAACAACAACAACAACACAAAAAAGCAGTGCAGAAATGTGTGCAAACCCAAACTTTTAAGCTGTGGGTAAGGGAAGAGAAAAATATAATTAGAGTTATCATAAATGTTCAGCTACTGTATTGACAGCTTGTTAACCTACCTTGTTTGGGACTTCTGCTCACACACCAGCAGGAAAAAGAGCCTGTATGAAGATGTGAGTGCTAATTCAGTACTGCTATTGAATAAGCCCCTGTTTCTGGCTTTGTCAAGTTTGAATTTATTTTAAATACATGGATATCCACAGTAGCTTTTTAGTTCTGAGTCTGTTGGAGGGGTTTTAGGTTTGGGGTTTTTTTCTTAATTTTTTTTTAATTTTTTTTTTTTTTTTTTTTAGAACATGTTATACTCTGTTGCATTCAAAATTTTTACAGCAAAATTTTGAGGAAAATTACTGCTTTTCAGTAAAATATGGTAATCAATTTAATTCAATTAACTAAGATAATTAATTTAAAGCAAAGGATCGGCGGTATCTATATTTTTAATTTGTACAGTGCTTAAAAATTCTAGCAGTCTGCAAATACCTCCAAAGTAATTACACCTTTCCCTTATTCAAGTCAATGTGAAGAGCTTGCTTCTTATTTCTTGTGAGTGTACTCTGTTGGTTTTTTTTCTGGATTTTTTTTATGACTTCAAACCAAAAATTTTCCTGATTTTATCCATCCATTTCTTAGTTGTTATGAAGAGGAATTTTTAATTATTTTTAATTAATTTTTTTTCCCTAGAAGAATATGGGTTTAAGCACTAATATGAAAGTTAACATAAATATTTTGGAAATATTGTAATTTTCAACATGATCAGAGTTCCCAACTTGAAATGATAATTTCCTACATCAAAATAGTTGTAGTATATTATAATTCACTTGGGCTTGCTGAAGATTCTGGGGAGGCCAGGAATTCCAGTGCATCTGAGAAACAAAAAACATTTGATTTAGAATTTCTGTATTGTCAGAGCAGTGTTTTCTCTGGTTGAATAGGCAGATACTGTGGTCTGAAGGGAGTTAACACTCAAGTTATCCTGCAAACACTTTGCTTCCCCCTGTTACAAACTATTACACGTCTTACTACAGATCAGGAATTAGAAAAGGAGGATGCTCCATCTGTTGTGAAACGTTGTAACAGCTCTTATGAGAAAGCCTGACTATAAATATATGCAAAAGCCTATTGCAGAGCAGAGTTCTGACACAAGTCTGACAGCAGCAGCAGTACCTTGCACAGGCAGACAAACCCCTTAGCAAAAGGAGTGGTCTTCTGCTAATGTAGTCCTCCTGATGCTCCCCAGAAGATTTCTCCAGGCTCCCAGGAGAAGGCAGATTGATGCTGTCAGCGACAGGCACAGTAGTTACACAAGCAGCAGGGAAATGTGTATTTTTCTTCATCTGTTTTATAACCTGAGTCTGTTTCAGTTCTCAGGCAGTGTGGCTGTTACTTCAGGGGCTGTAGTGCTGTCTGACAGTCATTTCTTTGTTTTATTCTTTAAAAAAAAAAAAAAAAAAAGGTTCCTATGTTGATTTTCAGTGTTGTGTGTGTGTGTGGCTATCAGTAACCTATCTGAAATGGAAGGGTTACCAGGTCCTAAATTCATTACCTCTCTGATCAGTTCGAGAGTAGAGGAAAACGTGGTTTGAAATAAGATCAGAAGAAAATGCTTGGGCTTTTC